ACATACATACTGTGAGTGGTATCACACTGGCAGCACCAAATCCCACTCTCCCAAAGTCAGCGGCTTTTCACCTGGTGATCGCCACAAGAAGTGAGAGTCCTTCGAACAAGCTGCCTAACAAGCAAGGCTTACAAAGCCCAAGATACTACGTCCAAGAAAGCTGGCCACAGCTTTGGAAGATCGACCGCGATCGAATGGCTGCAAGTGCTTTAAGTCCCTACCTCGCCCACCACGGCTTGTCCTCAAGCCTAAAACACTATGGTGCATGAAACATGGTTTCTCCCCTTCCAGCTGGCTTGGACATGTATTCCAGGTTGGAATTTATTCAACGAGGTTTTGATGAGAACACATCACATGGGAATAATGACACAACGACTGGGTTCGTTGGGAAATTCACACTCCCAAAAGATGTTTTTCTTCACTATTTTCAAGTTTCTCATCGTTGCAGGTTTGCAACCATCTCATGCGGGATCGGCTTGTGGCATGTTCCTTCAAGACTTGCCCTTCATCGTGCAGGCTGTATTGACCTACTTTCAAGGTATGTCGGAGGAAGTGAGTCTGCATGATTTTGGTCAATGCATCTGCAAGCTGTGCGGCACTATGGACCCATCTTACCTTTACTCCTTCAGCTATCATGTCTTTGATGGCTCTCGCTTGTAACTGGGTTCTAAACTCCTGGCACTGTGGTGGAGCAGTTCGGGTGATTAAATCAAACAATGATTTACAATCGGTTACTGCAATCGAGGGATCTTCTTTGAGAGTGGCCGTTGTGAAGGTTGATGGTAATTCCTTGAGAGTTTTTGATGGATTCTTCCAATCAGTGCAGGGGTCTCGTATCCAGCTCCAAAACAATCTTAACCATGAAAGTTGATCTAGAGTGGTACTGAGGGAAGTGGTCTCAGCTGCCAAAGTGCTTGTCACTACTCGCTGAATTTTCTTGCATCCCCAGCTTATGGGATTCACGGGGCACACATGATTCTTCCCGATATCTTCGTGGGTTGTCATGATGATAGTTCCTGTGTGAGATTCTGGCTGTTTCTTGGAAGCAAACGATGCATCGGAAAATGCCAAAAACCTGATTTTATCCATGGGTATTGGTTGTATACGGATGGTGGTGTCTTTGTGTCTTTTTGCTTCGTGAAGTATCTGATTTCCTTGAATGAGTGTTGCAATGGTCGCTTGATTGATGTCACTCTGAATGAAACTTAACCTGCTCGATAAGTCAGGTCTCGTGTTTACGGCTGCATATTGAAGTGATCCTATGAGTGCACGGAGATCTTGTCTCTCTCGTTCGGTGACTGGAAGTTCAAGTTGGGATTTTCTTTCTGGTTTGATGTGGATGGGTTCAATTTTGGAAACATATTTTTCCTGTGACATGACGATGCTGGAATCACTTTGTTGACTCATTTCAATCCCTGTGAACACAAAGCTTTGAGATTTCCGGGATCCGAAAAGAAATTTTGTCTCGAGTGCTTTCACCTGAGACTGGAAATAACTATCTCCTCCGCATAGACCATCATCTACATGGACCCCAAGGATCCCCGATGGCTCTTTTGCTCCTGGTTTGAACAGCAAATAGAGGCATGGGTCAAATGGGGATGGTATGAAGTTCAAGCTACGCAGGGTGGTGTCAAGTTCTGTGAACCATAGAAATGGAGCATCAATTAAACCATACGCTGATTTAATGAGTTTACAAACCTCCGTGGATTTCAAATCCATGGCTTTCACCATTTCTGGGACAGGTTCAATGGCAATTTCCCTTCCTTCCTGAGTGCGGCCCTGGAGGAACGCTGCTTTGATGTCGAAAGACATGAGTGTCCATCTCATGGAGGCAATCACTTGGGCTATCAGCATCTTTGAAGTTCTCCCCAGTGTAGGACTGTCTCTAGGAATTGTTTCTAGTTGGGGATCCATATATCCTAGAACCACCAGGCGGGCTTTTGCTTTGCGACTACGCCCCCCATTTTCTTTTTGTTCTTTAGGACACTCTATGGGCTTCCAAACATACAGCCATCTGCGTCTCAGGATTTGTTCAGGTGACAAGGCATTTCGGAACATTCTTTCCACAGTCCCGGTCTGAAGCCAGTTGTTCACCTCCTTGGCCTTTGCAGCCTCGAATTCCTGGCGCTCATGAGGATCTAGAGTGCTTAACTTGACCTCAGTCCGTTGTTTCTTGGATGCTGTTGCTAACATGATGAAATCTTCTTCACATTGGTTTTCCTGGGAAAAACACATCTCATCCAATTCAGCTTTGGTGAATTCGAGCTCGGCTTTCCAGACATGGTCTTTGCCATCTGGTGCGAAGAGATCTGACTTGTCATCGTCAGTGCAAGTCAGGAGATCACACAAAAGTTCATCATCGGTGGCATCAGGGAGTGGTATTTCATGAGGTTCTAAGGTGGGTTGACTTTCGGCTTCGGGATTATTTAAATGGAAGTTATGTGGACTATTGTCGGGTGATGAATTATCATTTTAATGGTGAGGTTACCTTGGGAATTTTCATCAGGCTCTTGGTCAGGCTGTTCGGATGCTCTTGAGCTAGTTGGTCTGGCGTTTTCGGATGGCACAAACACTTCAGTGGTTGTTGGAAGTCTGGCAATCTCATTGGTTGGGCTTTCGGTGGGAATTTGATCTGAAGGATTATTGGAAATCTGCGCATGTGGTGGGACTTGTGAGGTTCTCAACAGGGATATGGGATTTTCTGTCATGGGAATTAGTCTGGCTTCTACCGCACTGACTGGACGTACATGTTCTGGAGCAGCCCGCAGTACAGACCCTGCATTGTTGCAAAACACTGATGTTGGACCGTCTTGGATTATTACCTTTGCAGGACCAATCCAGGAACCCTTACCTATGTGGAATTTCCAGACCATTACCCATTCCCCAGGTTCATAGGCCCCTCTATGTGGACGATCTCTTCTCAGTGCTGCACGACGAATTGCCATATCGTTGTCGGCTGCATGAAAGGCTCTTCGTGCTGTCTCTCGCATCGCGAGCACTTTCCTAAAGCGAATGCCCTGGCTGTCATCATTGGTAGCGATGGCATGAGCCGGCAAGGTGTCATCTCCAACAATGGAACCTGGAACCCGTAGGCCACGACCGAAAACAAGAGTCTCGGGTGAGTATCCATGTCTTAGACTGCAGGCATTCTTTGCCATGGTACAATGGGTTAGGGCTTGTTGGAATTGGAAATAATCAGTCACATCATGTTCCAATTCATATTTGTTTAACATTGATTGGAGTACACCGCCGTGTCGCTCAATGCGACCCATCTGCCAGTGAGCATCTGGTGGGACCACTGTACATTGTACATTCATGCTTTGAAGAAACTCTTCAAATGCTTGCGACACAAATTCGGATGCTGAATCCATGATAACTGTGTTGGGAGGACCAGCCCAGTTGAGCCATCCAGAGGTGAATCTTTCCTGAACTTCTGCTCGATTCGGGGCCACTACTGCAGTGTGGTAATTGGTACCGTGACAAATGAAATGGTAAAAAATGGAAATCTTGGCCCTGTTTGTTACTCCATTTTACCCCATCCATTGATATCTTATCACCGAAATTCAGTTCCTCCTTCAGTGTCGCAGGACGTTGGAGTCTTGGTTGCTGTTGCATTTGGCATACGGAACATTTGAGGTCTAACACTCCTCGCACCAATTCATCAGAGTAACCCCTTTGCTGAAGTACCTTACTCAACTTGGTGGGATCTGGGTGACCTAAGTTTTTGTGAAGTCGAATAGCAAGTTTCTTGTTCTCCGGTGACATTGTCATGAACTTGGAACCATGGTCCTTGCTTTCGAAGTCTATTTGGCTTGGATCCTTGGTGCTTTCGGGTGTTGCGACACTCGGTGGTTGCAGCTGACTCTCAAAGGCTGGTGTGCTCGAGAGCTCATTGGTTGGCACATCCGGTACCGAGGATTGGGCTGCAACACTTTGTTCAGTGGCCTCATGGCTGATTGGTCTCTGGCTTTCACTGGCAGGTGATGAAATCTCGGTTGGATTTCGAGCGAACACTGTTATATTCAAAAAAGAGGGATGTGACCGTCGCCACAGCTGTCGGGCTGACAAATGGCGCCATTCCTCCCATTGACCTTCGACTTTGATGGCTTTGGTTTGTCTTTGGATGATGATGGCTCTGCGAAAGGGAGCTTCTGCTGGCATCATATTCTTCGGGGGAGTGATGGTTCTCTCCGTCCCTTTGCAAATCACAACCCGAACTATTTGTTTGTCATGAAACACTTCTTGAAGTCCTGCAAGAATGGAGGGATCATCGATCTCTTTCCTGCCTACCCTAGGAGCTAAGCTGGATATTTTCTCACAGAGTTGGATGCAAAGGGTTCCTACATTATCGGTGGTCTTCTCATGGAGGCGACGCTTCTTTGCCGGCATTTCACTGGGCTCAATCAGTGGACTGACGGGTGTCAGCTTCGCTCGCTTGGATGCAGGTGCCAGGGATGCACTGGTATTTCTTTTGGCGTCGGATGCAAAAGCCTCGGACAATCCCATAGGTTTGCTACGTAGACATTTGACTTTTGTCAAAACCTGTGCAACTTTCCTGGCAAATCTTCGACTGTAGTTTTCAGAAAACTCGGTCCTTTTGATTCTCATCCCCTTTACCACAGTTTCCCCTTCAAGTGGCTGATGTTGATGTTGTTTATTGCAAGTGAGTCCGTTGAAATGATAATAGAATTTTTGTGAGGTGGTGTGAATTTCCATGCCCTTCTTATATAGTAATTGGTTCATGGGGTCTCGGATGGCACCTACTCTGCACATGTCGAATCGGGCAACCTGAGTGTTTTGTATGATCTCCCACAACATTGGGGTTCGCATCATGATGGACCTGGCCGGTTGTTCCCAGTGCATATGTCGACCGGCATTCCGCTGGACACGGAAAAGGACTAGTCCTAGGGCCAACTGGAAAAGGTTTTCTTCTCTCTTCCGCTGCACTTCGGCAAAGCCTTCGGTGCTCCTCATCTCATTGAACTGACTCCATGAACTCCAAGGCCCGCAGGTCGGGCTATACCATATGTGGTTGGGCTTCTGTTGAACGACAATTTCAAACAAACCTTCTCTGCCTTCTTTGGTGGAAAGGTCGCCTTGCTCAAAACCATACCTGCACGCTCGATATCCCAATTTATTTGTTTGTTTGGTCAGTTCACTTGCTGAGCTACAGAAGACCTCGAGCATCTGAATTGGCTTTGCTGATCGGCTGCCTACGAGTTTGGAGACTTCTTGAAATTCCTGTGAAAATTGGGCTACAAGTTGATGAAAAATTTGATGGCGATTATTGTTGACAGTGGTGTTGAAAATTGGATCTTCAAAATCATTGTCAATGTCTCCAGCAAAGCATGCATGATCAGTGCTATCTCTCAGTTGTTGGCCGGGCGAACGTGCTGCAAGATCTCCATCAGCGCACTTTCCACATGCAACATCCTGGCCTGCAGGGCTTCGATGCTCTCCAGGTGTGGATCTTCGTCGAGTCCCCTGGCATTGTGGGCCAACATCTCTTCTGGGTCCATCACATCCCACTGCTCGGTCCCGATGTTGGAGCTGGCTTCCATGAACATGAAAGGGTCCACGGCTGTGGATGCCTTGGCTTTCGGTTGCCCTTTGCAGCGTGGCATGACAACTCCCTGTGTCATGGACTCCATTGGAGGCAGTTTGTGCTCTAGCTCGTGAGCTGATATCATCTTCTCGACATAAATCAGGAGCTTTCGATGTTCCACCTTTTGGCTGTCTGAGTAGGTCCTGATGAACCATTTGATCCAATTTTGCTCCTCCAACCACATTTCCAGATAGGTTCGCCCCATGTGGGCTTTGCCAAACGTAACCTTGGCATCTCCCATTTCCTGAACTGTCAGCTGCTGAAACTGGTCCACGCTGTCGTCGACTGCCTTGGTCATGACTCGGTCGAATCGGCTGCTCAGGCTCATTGCAGCTTTGTGGATTGGTTGACTTCACGAGATCTAAAAAGGTTGGATGCGGACTTTTGGGCCAGGAGGTCTCTGTGCATTCATTGGTCTGTGAACGTCTGGACTCACGGTGGCTCTGGAAAATCTCATCCTGTTGATTTGATTGGCCTGGTGCTTGGCAAAACTTCTGTGTGAGATTGCAAGTGTGAAGTGAAACGTCCTCATGTGATTGGAAATCTGGTCTTGTGTCATGACATGTGGGATGGTTACTGTGGCTTTCAAAGGATTTGACTGGTGCTTGGAAAGGTTGATGGCGTTCAGCAATTTTGCACTCGGAAAAATCATGGCTGGTGAATGTCTCGGCAATGGTCAGGTTTGACCTGTCACTGGGCCCTTTCTGTGCTTTCAACAATTCATTCACATCCAACAAATACAAACCGCGTGCACTCAATCTCAACTGAACATCATGTTTGAACATTGGGCTGGACAGAACCTGATACTCGCTGTTGATGCTTGCCTTGAGGGTTCTCAACAAAGTGTTAGATAACAACAATGGTGTTTCCCCAAGCACTACAGCTATCTTGAATCCCAAACCAATTGATTTGAGGGGGATCACCAACGCCTGACTGCTGTCAAGAGTTCCCTGATTGCCAAACCTGAAAGTGATGTCACATGATGTTCGGAACAGTTGACTTCGAACTTCCTTGGGCAGACCCTCAAGAAACGAAGGTAGCAGCTTGCTACCAATCACAGACTTTGTGGCACCTGTGTCTAAGATGCCTGATGTGCCATGCGATGCAAAAAGTGCTAAAGCAGGCTCACTAATCGTTGGCGGATCACTGGCTTTCATCGGCAAATGGCAGGAGGCTTCATTCCTGGGAGGATGGCTTTTCAGGCTCTTTCCCCTATCATTATCCCAAGACCCCTTGTACTTGAGACGTTCCCGAAGCTCATGCGGAATGGCCATACTGACATTAATTAAATGCAAACTAGAATCATCTATGGTGACGTCTTGAACCATGGGCAACTGCATGAACTCCATTGGCAAGGCATCGGGCTCACCCTCGAGGGAAACTGCTTCGGCTGTCATGGTGGCTGCCGTGCTGGTTACACTGTTGGCTGAGGCATTTTGGCGCTCTGGGCACTCTGCGCGCCAATGACCTCTCTTTCCACAGTGTCTACATGTGCTTTCCATGATTCTTTGCTGTAAACCTTTTCGGGGTCCACGGCCGTAACTCTTTCCCTTGCCCTTGAATCCATGAGTTTTGGACTTACCCTTCCCAGAGCTCACAGGCCAAAATCCACGATTTTTGAAGCGATCGGACAAGCGCTTGCGCACCTCACTGTACGCATTGTATGCGCTGGCCAGATCTTCGTCTGACTGCAGTGTGTCTGCCGCTGCAGACTCATAGTCTGCGATCAGCAGAGCGTCCTCGTCCTCGTTCAAGAGCAATTGTTCATAGTAATCTTCTTCCCCGATTTCATCAGCAACATACACATGAGATTCTTGACCCTCATCTTGTATATCTTCAGTCAAAAACGTCTGTTGATCATAGATCTTCCCTTTGGATTTCTTTTGACCGATCATCTCATTGAAAAAGGCTGTTCCAAGCATCCGGACAGACTGGCTCACCTTGTCAATCGTCAAAGCTCCCTGAGTAGAAGATTCACTTTCCAGGATGACACGTTTCTTGTCTTCCGATGTCAAAAGAGACCCTCGGAGCACTATGTATGCATGTACCTGATCCAGATCTATCTTCTTGGCCTTGAGTTCTGACCACACCACATCACACCTAGCCAGAAAGGAATCGTTTGATTCGTCCTGTCGTTGGACGCACTTGAACAACGCCTTTTCCACAATCTCATATGTTTTCTCCAGACTTACTTTGCCCCATTGTCCACCAAGCAATGGTATCAGCAATTGAATTCCTGCCTTGTCACCTGTGATTAACTTAGCACGATTCAGTTGAAGCTTTTGGAAAGCAGAACCTGTTGTATGGAGAATTAACCTCGTGATCAACTCGTTGACCTTGTTCTCGGGCCAGATTTCACTCAGCAATTCTACCTTCTGCGTGTACTGTTCCAGGTCGTCTTTCGACGGATCAAAGCTCGGCACAAGTTGGGCCATCTGGTTTGAGATGGTTGCAGTTCCCTCTGATGGGTCACCATTTGTCTGCGCCATGGTGACCTCCAAAGATGATGTATCCCCTGGAGCAACAAAACTGAGGTAGCTCCGCTACCAGTGTGAGTGGTATCACACTGGCAGCACCAAATCCCACTCTCCCAAAGTCAGCGGCTTTTCACCTGGTGATCGCCACAAGAAGTGAGAGTCCTTCGAACAAGCTGCCTAACAAGCAAGGCTTACAAAGCCCAAGATACTACGTCCAAGAAAGCTGGCCACAGCTTTGGAAGATCGACCGCGATCGAATGGCTGCAAGTGCTTTAAGTCCCTACCTCGCCCACCACGGCTTGTCCTCAAGCCTAAAACACTATGGTGCATGAAACATGGTTTCTCCCCTTCCAGCTGGCTTGGACATGTATTCCAGGTTGGAATTTATTCAACGAGGTTTTGATGAGAACACATCACATGGGAATAATGACACAACGACTGGGTTCGTTGGGAAATTCACAACATACATTGACATACATACATTGACATACATACATTGACATACATTGACATACATTGACATACATTGACATACATGCATTGACCTACATACATTGACATACATACATTGACATACATACATTGACATACATACATTGACATAAAAAAATGACATACATACATTGACATACATTGACATACATTGACATACATTGACATACATTGACATACATTGACATACATACATTGACATAAAAAAAATTGACATACATACATTGACATACATACATTGACATACATTGACATACATTGACATACATTGACATACATGCATTGACCTACATACATTGACATACATACATTGACATACATTGACATACATATACATACATACATTGACATACATATACATATACATATACATATACATATACATATACATATACATATACATACATACATACATACATACATACATACATACATACATACCATACATACAATACATACAATACATACAATACATACAATACATACAATACATACAATACATACATACATACATACATACATACATACATACACACACATACATACATACATACATACATACATACATACATACATCCACACACACATACACACATACACACATACACACATACACACACATACACACATACACACATACACACATACACACATACACACATACATACATACATACGTACGTACGTACGTACATACATACATATGTTGTATATTCTACATATAATTATTGTAGCAATGCGTACAGTTTTAGTATGTTTTAGAGCCCTTGTGCCTCAGTGAAGCAAAGATGTGGCAGAGAAACTACACTAAACAGGGTGCCCCTACTATCCTGACTGATCTGACAGATCTTCACCGAGCCATTTTGATCAGGAGCTTCTTGCCTACCTGCTGGACGGGTTGCATGAAGACTTGAACCTGGTCAAGGTCGAGCGCAAGGAGATTGGTACACTCCTGCCCCTGAAAGACGCGCACAGACATATGAGGCTATATACCCCCCTTTTCAGCCCTTTTCATTCGCCCTTCAGAGAAGGCAGTGGAAGCCGGAAGCTCCCACCAGACGACTGCAGGAGAGCAGAAGGGACATGGAACCCAAAGTGGATTCAGATGAAGAGGATGAACGCATGGCGCAGGCAGGAAACTCAACGTAGAAAAGGCATGAAAAAGCGTACAGCCAACTATGTAGCTGGATTGAAAGTAGAGGCAAGTATGATAGTGAATAATGACACAGACTGACACACATATACGCGCACCATGCTGAGAGGCACATCCACATGGTTTGGCAGTTGCATCACATCATCGCCAGTTGGAGCGCGAGAAGGGCGAAGAGTACGTCGCCGCCCTGCTTGCAGCCTAGAGATGCCTAGAGATGGAGGGCAGTGTGCCTCGTTCGAGGCAGTGCAACCAGATACAATGGGGGTACAATGGGTGGCTGCCAGTGGCTGCTGTGAAACAAGGACGTGGATGAAGCACCTCATGCGGCACAAGTCTGTTCTTGTGGATCTCTTTCAGGCCGCTTCGCGGGTTGGGGCCATGTGACATAGGTTTGATATGTTTTGATACAATCAGCAGATGACGGTCACCCACGAAGGTCCTCGTAGTGCCTATTTTGATCATGGCAGGGACAGCTTCGTTCACGGCTAACCTGCGGCACTTGCGGCCATCAATCCAAAACCTTTGACCCGTACCTTGGCTGGAAAGACCTTGGAAGACTGATGAATCGAGCAGCCATACTAATCTTCTACAATCTTTTTTTTTCCCAGTGATTGCAGTACGTGTAGTAACTACTTGCATGTTTTCTTCAGAGAGCAACTCAGGTATTTGTACATTGCTCTCCCAGTTCATAATGACATGGGCAGCCTCCAGGACCAGTTGCCAGCTATGCGAAATTGACAAGAATTTCAGTCAACTTCCACTGATCATCCTGATCTTGATTGTGATGACCTTCAGGACGCTCTCACACACTTTCTTAAGGAAGAGCGGCTGACGGGCGATGAACGTTGGAGGCTACAGATGACACACATTCGGTAGCATGTTATTTCCAAGCTAGCCTTCCGCACAGGTGCCCAAAGTGCAAGAAGAGGGTGGATGCAATCAAGAAAATTGATTTATGGAAGCTTCCACCAGCAACTTGATTTGAAAGACGGTGGGAGATGTCAGAGTCAATGCCCACCATGTGCATGTGCAGCGGACGGTGACTGTGAACTAATTTGAACCAATGTGAACCACAAAGTTCCTGGCTTCCAAGGTCTTAGTTGTGCATTTGAAAAGATTTGAGTTCGACACCTCAACGTGCGTGGCTTATATAGACAGTCTTGCTTTGTTTGTTTCCCCTGACCTTCCTGCTAAGGTGTCGCTTCAAAAAAATCAATGTCAAATTGAAGTGGCCAACTTAGTTTTCTTCGAGCGAACATGAGCGAACTGCCCAATCGACTCATGATTTCTCTCCAAGGACGCCTTTGAGTCTGGATTTGTCCAGCTTCGTCAGTTCTCAACACAAGGAACGATTTTTTGGGCTTGGTATTGCTTGGTGCTGCCTGCCATACCGTTGGCTTGACAGTTGCTATGCCACCGTAGCAGCAGTGGAGCAGAAGAAGAAGAAGCAGCAGCAAAAGCAAAAGCAAAAGACAACAGAGAGATCAACCAGTCTTCACAAGCAAAACAAGAACAAACACGCTGAGATGAACGTTGAGTTATGTTGAGTTGAGTTTCTAAATAACACGTCAACATGGCCTGGCCGTCGCGTGCTGCTTTTCGAGTTTTGATTTTGAACTGGTCGTGACTCCCACCGCTGTTTCCTCAGGGCTCCATGGTCTATGACGTCATTTCGGCAAGGATCTTGGCGCATCTTCAGGATTCTCCAAGCATCTTGTATAAGATCAGAGCATACAAAAGATAATGAAAGATAATGAAAGCAGGAGGGAAACAAGCAGAGAGCCTGCGGATCCCTACGGCTCTTGGACACCACATTGCAAAGTAAACCCATGCTGGACGGAAACCTGCTGAAATGCCAAGGTCGCCAACCACATCGGGCATGCAGGCCGTGGCCACTACACAGCCATTTGCAGGCCGCAGCAATGTACAGCATGCGAGTTCAGTATATTTGACAATATTTTATTGTGAATGATTGTGTTTGACAAATCTTGACAATCCGTCACACCCTTGTCCGAATGGTTTTGGAGCCTGGATTTGGGCACCGCAGGCATCACCTGCACAATCGTTTCTACCACTTCAATGACACAGATGTTCATGAGGCACCTGCACTTCCGCGCTGAGATTCAGATTCCCAGATTCCATTTGTTTGCGACAAAATAGGGTTGGACGTCAGCTGATTTTCAAACCAAGTTGTGATTCCAAACCATTCCAAACCAATCGGACAGGTTCGTGCAGATGATGGAGAGGTCATCACCAAGGAGGTGCACGAAATCAGCGGAACGATTAGCCCACATAATTATGAGATTTGGATAGATTTGAGAGATTCGCTAGATCCGCTATTCCCTTTGCTTTGCAAGGCCTACTTGCTCTTTTTCATGCGGCGGGACATTTCGGATTGGGAGACTTGGCAACAGCGCGTGAAACAAGAAGATGGTTTTAATTCTGCAAGCATTTCTAGATGTTTGTGGGTGCTTCGGGAGAGCACTGCTGCGCGGACTGAGGAGGCTCAATCCATATCTCGCCCCGAGGTACGCTGAGTCTTCCTAGACCTGATGTCTCATGAAAGAGCTTTTCTTTTTGATGTCAGATATAACAATCAGAACAAAGCTTTTTGCAGAAGCCCATTTGTAAAGCCCGAGGCATGGCCACACTTTGTCTCAAGACAGAATTCTGCCATGATGCCTGCGGTGGAGTCCTCAAGTAGAATGCTGGGCAAATGACCAACAAAATATTCAAGCAATATTCAAGCAACCAAGCATTGATTACTAGATTGG